TGTTTAAGGTACCATGAGAGTTGAGAGGGGATCTATATCCAAACAAGTGTAGAAACTCAGGAAAGGCTTCCTTGAGTAATACTTTATTGTAACTGAGTGAAGTAATATAGTAATAGCGTTTTAATATTTTTTGAGTGCTTACTATCTGCCAGGCACTATTCTAGTCTCACAACCGTATTTCTGATACCTATTTTACAGATTAGTAACCTGAGGAATGGAAAGTTCAAAGAATTTACCTTCAATTCATAGCTAGTGAGTGGTGAGGCCGGCATTCAAACCTCGGCTCTCCCATCTTAGAGCTCCATTATAGTATTCTTGTCTTTCCAAGGGAGGCAGCCTTATGCAAAACCTCTGATGAAGGGTGGTACTTACTGTTTTGAAGGAAATACAAGAATACGAATGTGATAGAAGTGCACTGAAAGTGGCACAGGACAGGGTGGGATCTTGTGGAAGGAGAGAGGCCTGTGAAGCTCAGAAGAGTCAGATGAGGCCAGATTGTCTGGTTCATTTAAAATATTTTAATGGGGTTGAGCTACATGCATGTTCTTCCTGTCTTTCTCAGTGGGAATTCTTTTTCTTGTAATACACTCAGGAGCGTTTACCATAGAATTAGTGAAACTTAAGCTTCAGGGTTCCTCACGACGTGGGCTCCTGTGAGTTCTGGAAATTCTTGTGAATTATAGAGTGTTCAGAAGAGGCCAGGATGCAACCAGTGAGCATTTCTGGTTAATTTCCAAGAGCTCTCAGAAGAAGAAGGCTCTTAAAATTATATGAGCTTTAGGTGTCACAAAACCTGGATCCATTTCTTAACATTCCTGTCAACAATATCTGTCTCATTTCACATACTGATTTGGGTGGGGTGTCTGAAGGAAGGTGGCTGAGAATTGCTGTCTTTTAAGGCATGATATCAGAGTCAAAAGACCCTGAAATGCGCCTAAACTTGGCACTAGTTGGTAAGTCATTAGGCTGTAATAAAAACTGGGTAAACGTAGAATATTTAAAAAATAAGAACCATGGGAAAAAAAGTTTATGAAAATAAAACTATACAGACTTTGAAATTATTGTTTTGATCAGTACAATTACATTTGTTGATAGCCTGTGTGCATTTCAGTATTTACAGCTTAGGGCATAAACAGCTTTGGAAACTATGTTTTATAAATGTGGAAAATACTCTTGACTGGAAACTTTCTAATCTATTTTTATTCTTGGTTTCAGGCGCCTGATCACAGATTCAAAAGTTAAATGAAAGTATCAGCATTTAATAACAAATAGCTTTGTAGAGGTAAGTGATTTGTTTTCCTTCTTGTAGGAAGGAATTCTGTTTATTAATAGAAATACTATTTTTAAAAATTATAATTTATTGACGGTAAAAAAAATCTTTACATATTTTGAAGCATGCCAAAATACCTTTATTCTCAAAAGAGTATGACAGGCCGGGTGCGGTGGCTCATGCCTGTAATCCCAGCACTAAGGGAGGCCGAGGTGGGTGGATCATCTGAGATCAGGAGTTCAAGACCAGTCTGGCCAACATGGTGAAACCCCGTCTCTTCTAAAAATACAAAAATTAGCTGGGCGCAGTGGCACAAGCCTGTAATTCCAGCTACTTGGGAGGCTGAGGCAGGAGAATTGCCTGAACCTCAGAGGCGGAGGTTGCAGTGAGCCGAGATCGAGCCACTGCACTCCAGCCTGGATGTCAGAGCGAGACTCCCTCTTAATAAAAAGTAAAATAAAATAAAAGAGTATGAGAAACCAGTAAGTAGATATCTCCATATATCTTGACCTTGGATAATAAAATCATTTTTAGTGTATTCTTTCTTTCTTTTTCTTTACCATAGCAGAGAATTGTAGTAGATTACTAATCGTGTCATGTTTAACCATGAGATTCTAACCCTGCTATGTCTCTGCTCGTTATAGGTTTCATTACCAGTAAATCTTGTTAATAAAGAATGCTATACTTTATTGGACCATGCCTTTGCCCATTTGTTCTATGACTCCTTTTGTGCTACAGTGGCAGAGTTGAGTAGTTGCTACGGAGGCTGTTCTGGCCTGCAAAACCAAAATTCTTTACCCTCTTGGCTCTTTACAGAGGAGTTGACCAGATTCTGTATGACAACATCAGTGTAACTTGGTCTTCTCATTCTAAAAAGTAATGATTTCTGTTAGAGATTAAACCTGGAAACAGCCTATTTTAGAAATAGAGTATTATTTGAAATGGTCAACGGACTTCTGAATTCTGGTGCAGAGTGTTTTGGTTCATAATAAAAATACTATAAAAGTTATATTTTCTTTTGATGACCTAAAATGCACTCTTTGCCTGTGGTTTAGGAACTGGGGTTTTTTTTTTTCTTACAAGAGCTTTTTATGGGAGAAGTTGTATGTATATCCTTTAGCCTATCTTGAACTATTCTGTAGCGTCAAAGCACCTTCCTTGGTAAAGAGTATATCTGATTTTCTTGTGTCTTTTGAAAATTGTTCTGAAATAGAACCATAAATAAATTAGTGCTTTTTGATCATCACATGCATAATATTTAATTAAAGTTTCAGTGGGATTAAAAGAACATAGAACAAGAGATAATTCATGTATTTTATAAAACCGAGTCTTCAAGGATCAGTCATCTAAAAAACAAAAACAAAAACAAAAACAAAACAGTACATCTGAAAGTGTTGCTATAGAAGACCACAGCAAGTTTTGATAAGCTTGTGTCATCATCCCCCATTTGCCCCTTGTACCAGAGAAGCAATATAAATAATTGCTTGATGTACTATTAAATCTTGCATCATGACCTAGTTTAATTTGCTGCCTTTTTTTGAGGCAGGGCCTCATTCTGACACCCAGGCTGGAGTGCAGCAGATGATCACAGCTCTCTGCAGCCTCTACCTTCTGGGCTCAAGTGATCCTCTTGCCTCAGCCTCCTGTGTAGT